GCTGTAACGGGCACAACTGCGTCCACATCACCACTGCATGCAAAATATCAACGTATCAATACATACATGCATACACACACACACATATACACACACGTATATTCATATACTATACATATATGTTGGTGTATGAGAATATATATATATATATATATATATATATATATATATATATATATATATATATATATATATATATATATATATATAAGAGATCAAATACAAACCATGCTTAAAATACTAACCTACAAACTCAATAATATGCGTCACTTTGAACTTCAATATGCATTAAAAATAATGTAAAGATGCAGGGATGTGATCACATACAAACTAGTCTTCTCATTCAAATCATCTTTACATTATTTGTATTGCACATTGAAGTTCGAAGTGTTTCATATTATTCAAGCCATAAAACAGCACTTTCATATTTACATTATTTGTATTGCATATTGAAATTCAAAGAGTGCATCTTTACATTATTTATACTGCATATTGAAGTTCAAAGTGTTGCATATTATTGAGTTTGTAGGTTAGTAAGTTAAGCATAGTTTGTATGTGATCTCACCCCTATATAGATAAGGGTATATATATATATATATATATATATATATATATATATATATATATATATATATATATATATATATATAGGGATTAGTTCAAATAAAAAGTTATTCCTAGGTGAAAAATAAGAACTACTCTAGGCCTTTAAATTGATAAAATGGAAGGATCAGATCAAATTTTAAACCAAAAATGCGGTGGCAATATGGTAATTATGCACAACTTTTATTGGATCCTCTAAAGAAAAAGTGAATCATTGTGTTGAAAAAGTGCAATACCAGATAGTAAAATTGCATCACGCTTCGAAATAAAATAAAAAGTATAAAAATCGAATTGTAACTATTTTAAATGAAGTAAGTATGCACATTTACATATCGTATATACACTTTAGTATTAAGTATTGCACATTTGGGTTTAGAGTGAATTCCCTAAATGGGGCTAAAATAGAAGATAATTGCTCAAATAGGACTTCATTTGAAACTATGTTTCATAGGACTTAAAATCACCTACTTGTACAAAAATGCCCTTAATGAAACTTTTTTAATTTATAATTTAAAAGTAAAATAGAAATTGAAGAAATCCTAAAAATTTCAACATAGCAGTAAGATTGCCGCTGCTATCGCACCATTCCCCCTGCCCCCAGCTTGCCGCCGCCATCACCAGCGGCGCCCTTGCCAGAACAGTCTGTCGATGCACCCCACCCGCACCGCCTCCTCGCCAGTGTCACCATCCATCGCCGTCGGGTGGTGTTGCCCAACCAGAGCTGCAACCTGTCGCCATCACCATCCTCTGCCATCTCAGGTGCACTGTCACTCCACCTCCAAGCACAGCCCCGTCATCACAACTTTGATGCCATACATATGCCATTAGGTTGGGAGGTTTAGCTTTGAAGAGTATTTGGAATCTGCCAAGAACAAGGTTTTTCATATCTGCCATAAAGTTGGTAGATTTATGTTGGAAGTTAACGCAAAAATGTCATAAATTTGGCAAAAAAATGAAGTCAATAACTATATATTCAAAAACTCAAAAAAATGAAATAAGCACTTTAACTCAATCAAAAAATAAAAATAAGAAGTTATTGATTTTTTTAGAGAAATCGATTTACACCAAAGCGTTTCTGCCATAATGCGATGGTCTATGTACATATTTCTGCCATAAACTTGGCAGAATCTGAAACCATCATCCAAACTTTTGGAAAATCGGAACTTTAAAAAAAACTAAGAAAACAGAAATCAAAAATTAGAAAATACAAAACAGAATTCCAAAAAATTGACAAAATCAATGCCAAATTTCAGAGAAACGTGAGAATATGAGGAAGATCATAAAAATCAATGTCTAATCTCATTAAAATAGAGGAATAGGAGAAGGAAGAGGAAGAGAAGAGGGTGGAGGAGTAGATCGGGGAAGAAGAAGAAGAAGAAAGAAGAGGAAGAGGAGAAGAAGAAGAAGATGAAACCTGCGATGGGGTGTGGTGAAATTGGTAGTGACGGCGGCGGCGTGAGGCGGCAGAGTTAGTGGCGGCGATGACTGCGATGCACAGGGAGAAGCTGCAGAGGGAGATGTCGATCGATTTTTGACGTAGGGAGAAAACCATCGATCTTGCCATGAGAAAGAGAAATGAGATGGAAAAGTAAGGAATTTAGGGATTAATTAGAAGAAGGGTATTAATGGTATGGAATTTTATTATGTTTCTACATAGGACTAATATAGTCCTATTTAAGAAATAAAAAGCTTAAGGTCCTATTAGTGAATTTTGATTATGTTTTAGTCCTACTTAGGACAAATACTATTGGGTTTAGTATTTCCTAACGCGATTTTTGATTCACTCCATTCATTTTGAAGTGATCAAGGGCTTAGATCACTTCTTACTTTTCATGGGAAGACCTCTTTGTATTAGAACCAATCCCTATATATATAGTGAATGGTTCAAATAAAAAGTGGTCTTAACGTGCAAAGTGTAAAGTTTGCACTTTTTCATTTTTCGCTTTTGCACTTTTTCTTGCTTTCGTTGCACTTTTTCACAGGAGCTCAAAAAAATTGGTTTATTTACAAAACTGCCACCGTCATTTTGGCCAAATTTGGCCAAAATCAAAATGGCCAAAAAGTTCAACGCAAACAAGAAAAAGTGCAAACGAAACATGAAAAAGTGAAAACTTTGCACTTTGCACGGGAAGACCACTTTTCATTTGAACTCTTCCCTATATATATATATATATATATATATATATATATATATATATATATATATATATATATATAATCCGAAGTATATAACTTAAAGAGGTGTTGAGTTTCGAAACATGACTGTAGTTTTGTTTGAGTAATTGTCACACATAGATTTTTTATCAATATGGACTATATAGGATCTTGAACTACTTCTCGCAAATTTACTTTACATGATATCATGCATATTTAGGTTAAGTTTTGGTTTGACAATTTATTTAGTACCCGAAATTTAGGGCAACTAGTTTAGGGTTTATTTAGCTCATTTAATCACCTCAAGTTGAGCAACCCAACGCAACTTAGATTGATGGAACATTTGTTGGACATCAGTATTGTATGAATTAATTATAAACTGCTCAGTAATACTTGTATATGCTACTTGAAACCTCTAGCGTTTTCTTACTTAGGGTGTGCTTGGGAGTTTATTTTTGGGGAGGGAGGTGAGGACATGTAATGATCGGTGATCGATCCTTTTATTTGTGTTAGTAAGCTTCAAATACGTGGCGGAATAGTTTTGAAAGGTTTTTGTCACCCTCAAAAACACCTCAAATGCTCACTTTTTAAATTCCTTCAAAATGGGGGATTTGAAAGATAGTTTACGCTGAATTTAAAATGAATATCAGTTCAACTATTTGAATTCATCATATCTCAGAAATAATTTTAATTACAATTTCTACTAAGATTCTCCTTTTCAAATTTACTACTCTCAAATAAGAAGAAGAATTCCCTCACATTTCCCTCCCTTTCCCCTCCAACAACTTGCTTTCAAAACTTCCCTCTCTTTATCCCTTAGTGGTGTTTAATTTTGCATGTATATTAAGTAATCAATGTGGTATTACTTTTTCTTTATATACATACTTAATCTTCCTAGTCATATGTATGGCTCCTTATAGATAGATATATTGTAAATGGGGAAGATAATTCAAATAAATTCTTGAAGATAACTGCGCTTTTAACTGCGCAGTTATCTTCAACAATTCATTTGAATGTCTTCCCGATTGAAGTACGTGGGTACGTGAGCTTATTTGCCCCTTTTTACAAAGAATTATAAACTCCTAACATTTTGGTAATGTCATCTCATTCCATAATCAATGCATGGAGTGCACTATTATATTTAATTGAACCTAAAAGGTAAAATTATCCAAACTAAAAATGATTAACTGAAATGACATAACTTAAGTGCATGAAGTACATTATATGTCCTTCAGTGAACGTCGGCATCAAGTGCAAGTGAACGTCGTCATAATATGCAACAAATGTTGTGTTATACCGCCTGCATAAAATGCAGAATTTTTACTCGGACGAAAGTAGTGCAAAATGCACTTTTTTAAAAAATGGGTATTTTCATCCTTTAACATTTTAATATTTTGATATTTTATTTTTATTTTTAGTCATATAAATGTCTAAAAATAAAGCTAGTCATAATTTGGAAAAATCAATAAGTTTTAGTCATATTTCCGTCCTTTAACATTTTAATATTCTGATTTTTTAGTCATATAAATGTCTAAAATTAAAGCTAGTCATATTTTGAGAAATTCCTCATATAAAAAATCAGTACTAACTTATTATTTTGTAGTTTTTATTATGACGTGGAAGAAACAAGACTTTGTGCAAGAGTTTATCGCCCGGGGCAAGACATTGTTTCAAAGAGAAGATTTAAGAAAAGAAATCATCAAATTATGTAATCTTTTGTGGGTTCTATAGATACGTACATGAAAATAAATAATTCGCTTCTCGCTTCGTGCAAGAATTTCTCGTTTGGGGCATCAAAATTCCTCAAGACGGACTTAGACTTTAATCTTACTTTTTCTTATTATACACAATTGATCACACAAAAATAAAAGTTAAATGTTTTTTAAAAAAGTTGACTGATATGCGTGATATGTCTGAAAAATAGGGTCACCAAACGGGCTCAAACTCAAGCACTTCAAGTAGAAACACTACATAGTGTTTTGTATCATACTATATATATATATATATATATATATATATATATATATAATTATTACGTACTAGTAATATTTTTCATATAAGTCGATCGAGCGATCCAATTTTCATATTTAAGAAATAAAAACAAGCATGGCATTGTAGTTAGTTATTCAACTAAAATTAGTGAATAAGAAGCAATTAAGCAAAGAACCAAAAGTGTTTTCTCTTTTATCCACGCCAAAGGAGATAAACAAATATTCAACATGAAAAAGGACATCTAAATGCGAGTGGAAACGAAATTGTAAAATCAGTCATAAATTATTAGGTGATGAAAACAATATACTTAATTCATAATATACTTCGGGATCTAATGTTTGTGATTGGTGAGGAAGGTGTTGAGCAGAGCAAACGCACTCTGTGGTTTATTCTTCGGAACTTCGTGCCCAGACCCTTTCACCGTTGCAAAACTTAGACCTTCATAAACCACTTGGTATCCGGCGGTCACCTGCATGCATGCAAAAAAAATCATTGTGAAAATATTTTGCATAAGGAGCATTTGTTGAAGAATAATAGACGTCAATAATAACACAATAATCTTGTCATATACAAATATATATACACTTCATTCTTTTAATTTAATTTTTTTAGTAAATCACCGATGGTAAACATTATTGACCGATAATATATTTACACTTGCAACATTTGTGATGTGAGAATGAAATGAAAAGTTTCTTTCTCAAAAATACATCATTGAATATAATTCTAGAGCTAATAATTAACTTTATGAAGAGTTAGTAATTAAAATAATTAATCAAGTTTATTTTCATCGATCGGAAAAGTCAAATATGGGTGACTACTAATAGATATAGGTAGAATGATTTTTAATAATAAACCGTCAAAGCTAACCATGTTTGTTTCAAAGAATCAATTAATAATTTGGGAAAAAAGAATAAGTCTAACTCATTATTACTTGTGTGGACTTGGAGCCATAGTGCCATGGATGCCAGGTCTTCAAAACTTTCAAGTTCATAGCATCTAGAGAATATCGAGTAGCTGTAACGGGCACAACTGCGTCCACATCACCACTGCATGCAAAATATCAATGTATCAATACATACATACACACACATATATGCACATGTACATTGGACTTTTTGCACTATTCACATCTTCTACTTTGACTATATTTTATTTATTGATGTATTATAAATTATTTTTTAAAAAAATTATTAAATTCCTCTCATTTTAAATTTTCAAAATTTGAATTTTTTAATTTTTTTACTAATAAGGAATGAAAGATATTAATGGTCAAACTTGTGTGTTGGCGAGCGCGAAAGTGGATTGTTGCAATTAAAAAAGAACGGAGGTGTTGAGTATCGAAACATGACTATAGTTTTGTTTGAGTAATTGTCACACATCTATTTTTTATCAATATGGACTATATAGGATCTTGAACTGCTTCTCGCAAATTTATTTTACATGATATCATGCATATTTAGGTTAAGTTTTTTTTATGGAACATATTTAGGTTAAGTTTTGGTTTGACTATTTATTTAGTACCTGAAGATTTAGGGCAACTAGTTTAGGGTTTATTTAGCTCATTTAATCACCTCAAGTTGAGCAACCCAACGCAGCTTAGATTGATGGAACATTTGTTGGAAATCGGTATTGTATGAATTAATTATAAACTACTCTGTAATACTTATATATATGCTACTTGAAACCTCTAGCTTTTTCTTACTTAGGGTGTGGCTTGGGAGTTTATTTTTGGGAGGGAGGGGAAGACATGTAATGATTGGTGATCGATCATTTTATTTGTGTTAGTGAGCTTCAAAAATGTGGAGGAATAGTTTTGGAAGGTTTTTGTAACCCTCCAAAACACCTTAAGTGCTCACTTATTAAATTCTTTCATAATGGGGGAGTTGAAGGATAATTAATCAAATGATAGTTTAAGCTGAGTTTAAAATGAATATCAGTTCAACTATTTGAATTCACCATATCTCAGAAATAATTTTAGTTACAATTTCTTCTAAGACTCTCTTTTCAAATTTACTACTCGCAAGTAAGAAGAAGAATTCCCTCACATTTCCCTCCCTTTCCTCTCCAACAACTTACTTTCAAAACTTCCCTTTCCCCTCCAACAACTTACTTTCAAAACTTGCCTCTCTCTTTCCCTCAAACTCTTAACATACCCTTAGTGGTGTTTTGCATGTATATTAATTAATCAATGTGGTATTACTTTTTTCTTTATATGCATACTTAATCTTCCTAGAGAGAGAGATATATATGGTAAATATATATCTACATGTAAGAGAGAGAGAGAGAGAAAGTAGTAATTTTAATCACATACCTAAAAATGAGAATTTGAAGACGAGATGCAATTAACCTCTTATATATCGGGATCATCGTTGATGGGCTGTCTATCCATCGCGTAAGCACCAGACTTTAACAATGTACAAATAAATTATTAGTATTATAACAAATAAATTAATAAAGAGCTGGCGTGCAATATATTTTATAGAATGGGCCAAATTAAAATCAAAGCCAAAAATTAAATAAGAAATATGTAGAGCAGACCGACCTGCACATGCTCCAACTGAAGGGAAGCTTGGTGGTGTTGGCATGCATGGCTTCTTGCACCTTTGGGAGATTGAGGTATTTCGTGACATAATCACTTCCACAAACATAGTATCCGTAAATCTTTTTATTTTTTATGTCAGTTGAAGAAGTATTGGAATCCAAACACAAGGGGCCATAGATGTTGTAAGGATCTATATTAGCTCCGATCTCTCTATTCATTGCTTTCGAGAAGTTAGAACAATTTTTGCTTCTAGAGTTTGTGAGGCAGTACTTTTGCAGACCCAGATGAGTTTCATCTGAGATCAGGGCATGGCTCCATAAGTAGTCAATAAATCCTTTGGTGTCGGTGTCATGATTTAGTAGCCCATTTCCTATCTACACAAGTTAAACCAAGAAAAATATAGTAGGGAGTAATTAACCCACAAACGCACATATTTTACTCCTCCTTTATCCAATTAATTAAGTTCATGCTTTGATTTTTTGGATCCAAATTCATTAGTTTTGACTGTTTTTACTGTACTCACACTTCTATTATATTTTTTTAAATGACAACATCCTTAAACTGGGATGAGTTTGGACCATGTGACCTCCTCCTTGGGAGTGTCACAATGATGCTATCGAACCACAAGGTGCTTGTCACTTCCACTATTAATTATCCAAAAAAATTATTTTATAGCATGAAAGTACTTTTGATGAATACTTTATATCAATATATAGGGAAATAGTAGGAGTAAAAAAGTTTGTAAATTCCAAAATAGGATTGACACGTTTTTATTTTTAAAATACGAGTAATTACTGTCAAGTTTGGAACATATTGCCATGTTCAAAATGAACCAAAAGTGAACTAGATTTGATAAAAAACGCGGTGGCAATTTCGTAATTAAAACAAAGTTTTTTTGCCACAGCGAAAAAGTGCAACCGAAACACGCAGAAGTGCAACACGGTGAGTAAAAAATGCAATTGTTCTCACTTTGCACGGGAGAACCTCACATATGATACCTTTTAGATCCCCAGTAATACGTAGTATAATCTTAAATACTAATAGTGAAACATGGACTTCGGCGACCATGTAAATCAAACTAGTTAACTAGTGACTTAAATAAGTGAGGAGGGAGTGTATATATAATCACACATGCATGTTACGTTGAATAGTAAAAGTTTTATGTGCGTGGTTAGTTGTTAAATGTTTATATATGTACCCTCCATAAAACTTTATTTTATTTGAGTTTAATTTAATGGATAGTGACCGATCTACAAATTTGGTAATAATACGAAATTATTTATAATTTTAAAATTATTTGTAAAAATTACTTTTCAATGTATATATAAAGTTTATAACTTTAAAACGAACCTTTTAATTACAATAAGTCAATAACTATACATACGTAGTACGTACGTACCATGATTCCCTTGAGTTGGATCTTTAAGGTTGTTTTGGGGAGCTTATTGCTGGTGACAATTAAATCAGCAAGTTGTGGGATGTAGTGTCCTGTGACATGCACGATTAATTAGAAAGATCATCCTTTAATTTAGTGCATTTTTAAATAAGAAAAAAGGCTCATGCATGTCAAGCTAATTAGATTGACCAATAAACTTGAATCATAATTACCTGCATAGCTTTCTCCAATAATGTAAAAATCACGATTCTTGTAATGTGGGTATTTTCTCAACCAATTGATGATGAACTTGTAAGCATCTTTAGCTGTTACCAGAGGATTAATTTAAATGAGACTAAGGGCATTGCAAACTAGCACTAGTGAGCAGTACTACAACAATTGATAGTTGAGCAATACTAAATTACTACACATTAATTGCTAGCTTTGTCATTTTGGTCTACTAAAAGCGACATTTCTGAAAATAGGGAGGTGTTACATAAATTTGGCTTATTGACATTAATAGTCTCATTCATAGTGATCAGTGTCTTGAGTGTGACCATAACCTTTAATATCATGGGCGTAGCCAGGAGTATGAGTTATGCTGCGTCGGTACAAAAAAAATTTACAGATAAATTTTTATACGTAAATTTTTACAATAAAAATATAAGCCATTTTAAAATTTGGGTTGGGCCAGGGCCCTTGTTGGCCACCCCTCCACCTCCGCCCCTCGCCTTTATGGTAATATTCAAATTTCTGAAATAATTTGAAATATTTATGTACGTAGTGTATCTTATTTAAAAAAAGTCATAAAATTATAGAAAACGATAGCTAAAATGGTTCACTTCAGCAGTTTAGACACAAAAAATACTTTAACTTTATTTTTTATTATATGTGATAAAAATCATATACTACCTCCGTTCTCTTTTAATTGCAACATTAGACTTTTTGCACTATTCACATATTCTACTTTGACTATATTTCATTAATTAATGTATTATAAATTAAATTTTTAAAAAATATTATTAAATTCTTCTCATTCTAAATTTTAAAAATATAAATTTTTTAAATTTTTTACTAATAGGGAATGAAAGATATTAATGGTCAAACTTGTACGTTGGCAAACGTGAAATGTTGACTGTTGCAATTAAGGGAACAGAGGAAGTATTTAATAAAAAAAGACTTATAAAACATAAAAAAATTAATTACATACCAGTCCTCTTGTGTCCTAAATAATGTGTACTGTCAGTTTATTAACGGAGAATTGAACAAGGATCAGACAAAACATAAAGAATACGAGTATAAATTACCAGTCCTCTTGTCTCCTGACGTATTATAGTCACTCGAAGTGTTGGAATAAGAGAAACCAACTCCTGCAGGGGACTCCAGAAATAATACATTTGCAACTGCAACATAATGGATTCAACCAAAATATTGTTAGCCAAATTGATAATACTAGTATATAGTTACTTTTCAAAGAAGTTTTTTATGGACTTTTCAAAGAAATTAACAACTGTATTCACAAAAGTAATTCTTAATGTTCACGTATTGTATATGTTTTGCATATTCTGTCTATGTCACAAACAAATTTTTGCAATTTTTAGTTCAATTGCAAAATGTACGAGATGTATGTAAAACGTGCAAAAATGACCTGTAGAAATAAGTTTTGCTTCTATCTTTTCTTTATTTTGCAAAATAAATATAAATGATGTATTCTCCTATCTAAAGACTTGGTCTTCACTCTTCAGACATAGCAATGAAGGACATTATCATTTAGGGTCATGCTTGGTGTACACAAGATGTACACAAAATGTGTACATTGTCTGTGTACACAGGCAATTGGGTATCAAATTCTATCCTTTTCTAAATGAATTGTCTGTGTACACAGACAACTAGGGAGGTTTTGTGTACAGTTTGTGTACAACTCATGTACTCTAAACATTTTCCTATTATTTATTATGCTTTCTATATGATCCACTACAATCCCTAACTTTTTGTTACGGAGTATCCCTTTACCCTCACTCTCAGGGATGAAGTGTCACCTTTTTTATTGTTATAAAGTATTGATATAATAATATCATGAGTACCCTTGTAACGCCCGTACTTTTTATCTACTTCTTATGTGCTAATTTATTTTAAATATGATCATGTTTTAACTTATGGTTTGAATGATATATATGTGAAGTATAGGGATATCATGAGATTATGAACTTTATGATAATTGTATTTGAACTTATATACTTGAAATATGTTTTATCATGACAGACAATGGTACCGATGAGCAACGAAACTACACCGTAATAATCATTTTATTTCAAATGTAACGGTGTATTAAGTTAATTGTCATGATAGATAGTATTCGGGTGTTTGAAATTTAGTTTAAATGGTCATCGGGGGTCTAGGATCATGTGAACTGCGACAATCGGGATTGGTTGAAGATGGAAAACGACATTTTTCGGCACAAGGGGGCGCTGGACCGGCGCCGGTTAACCCCAGACCGGCGCCGGTCAGAAACAGAACATTGGGGACGTGGTTTGGCAGGGGGAACCAGCGCCGGTCAGGGCCAAACCGGCGCCGGTCCGGGCGGTTTTCCCAGTCAGTGTAAAATGTATTTTTAGCGGAAAAATCCCCTTTCAGCCCTAAATTCAATCTTAGCTCGTCCTTCTCTTTACAAAGCAATCTCAAACCCTTCTCGAGGTGATTCAAGTTCAATTTAAACATATTTCTTCATCAAAGATCATCACTTGGTAATATTTTACACTTTACATGAAGTATCTCTTCTATATTTTGAGTTATAGTTCTTGTGTTTGGATTATACTAGGGTTGAGTTATTTTGGGTTGATTCCATGATTAATTATAGTTTTAGGGAGAACTGCAATAGTTCTTATCGCCAATTGGTTTTAACAAGGATATGACTGCTAATTAATCATAGAACTCTATATATAGTTAAGCAAGTCAGCGGGCCGGAAATCCCAAGTATGGCTGACCCACTGCACAGAAGCTTGTCAAAAAGGGGCTAATCGGTCCTATAAATTAAAAGTGAAATGTGATAGACCACATATTTCTTTCCAAAAATGGAAATGTGATATTTCTTTTAGAACAATAAAAAAAGGAAAGTAAGACATGTAAAATAATATCAATAGGGCATTGGGGTATATTAATAGAAATTGATATTATATATACCGTTTATGTCACTACGTCAAAAAGGTGGCTGTAATTTTAAGATGACAATTATCAGTCAGTTGTGTAACTAGGAAGGTATATTGGTTTTAGCAAGTGCTAAAAAATTTATGTCACGTATTTTACACATTTTTGCACATAATTTCAAATCATTTTTCAAATGTGGTATGTCGGGGCATAGTATCCCCCTCTAGCCAAAAACTACCAAAAGGGAATGAGAAAAAACACTGAAGTTCGCGGTAGTAGTAGCGTGTAAGGCGCAGCTAGGGTTTCTTGGCCCTCGTCTGTGGAAGGTTTGGGGCCGGTGAGTTGCTTTCGCTCGGCGAATTAGAATAGGTGCAGCAGAGTTCAACTCCAAAATCGTGTCGGGCCTAAGCGCCAATTGGCTTATCGATGTCCAGCTTCTCTTCCGACAGTTCAATCTATTTCTGACTAGCTTTCTGCCTCATTGGTGGGCTGCTTTGCCTGCGCAAGGGAGCAGTTCCGTTTGGTCAAACTCGGAAGGGGAAGATTGAGGCCATGGAGGAACGAGGATGCGAAAAATTGATGTGAATAGGGATGTGGAGGTGGCTCGCTTTTGGATTGGTTGTGTTTGTGCAATATTTTGGTCAAGAGATGGAGGCGACTCACGGGCAGAGCAAAGCGAAGAAGGAAGAATATGAAGTGATTGAAATTCATCCCCCTCTTGAACCGCCGCCATGGAGGAACTGTGCGACTAGGGTTTGGAAGATTGTTTTACTATTTCTAGTCTTTTATTTTCAATCCAGACTGTTCTATCATTTCTATTTTGTTCCTACTAT